CGCTTATGTCCCTCGGGCATTGGCCCTGCGCGTCTGCTGCCACCTCGCCTGATCGTCCGTGTCGCTGACCACATAGCGGCTGCCTCTTGCCCTCCTGCCTTCCTCCCACACACCGGTCCCCATCGCGGACCTACCACCTAGGCCGTCTCCACCATGATTCGCAACGCCTCGCTTGTCAAGTTCGAGAGTCAGGTGCGTCCTTTCTTGTGCCTTGCCGCACGTTGATGCCTCCACCCCTGTGGCACTCCCCGCCACCGCAATAGTCGTATCTGCCAGCAATGCCGCTGTCCTTGCTGCGATCATTGCAATTACTTTCACTGCTGCTGCTGCTGCTGCTGCTGCTGCTGCTGCTGCTGCTGCTGCTGCAATCGCCATCTGCGCCTTTCGCCCTCGGAAAGGATGGCGCTTTTGCTCTTTGCCTCCAGTGTCTGTCTCTGCTGCCGTCACGCAACGACCACCGCTACCAGTGCCCCGGCTCCTGTGGCACTGCCTGTCTCGGGGGACACCTCTGCGAAGGAGCCCTCCTCCTTCTCAGGAGCCCCTGGCTCCATTGGCGCTCATGGCATTGCGGTGGGGCTGTTGCCTCTTTTTTCTTTTTTGCCACAGTGGCTACTCCTTCCGGGTCTTGCCTTTGCCTTCGCCGCCGCTGCCGCCATATCCGAAGAATGGCCGGTCCGACCTCCGGGCCTCCATCCACGGCTCCTGTGTCTTTTTCCCTCGCCCACCCAGCTGCCTTGTACCATGTCCGGCCTCGTATCCTTCTCCTCTTACTCATGCCCTCACTCGGGCATCCTTTTCCTTGAGTATGTACCCTGGGCGGGGGGCACCTTCCTCTGCCGACCTCTTCAGCCATGACCATGCATTTGGCCCGGCTCTCCCTCTTTTGAGTTCATGTCCAGGCACCCACCACGGTCAGTTCCTCCGATCGATCGGCCTGCACTCCGGATGGTGTGCCCTCCTGTGAGCGAGTCTTCCCAGCTGGGGGCCGGGGGGATCCTTCTGCAGATCGATGTTCCGCGCCCCGCTTGCCACCTCTCTTGTGCACACGGCACGGCGCAGAGGCCAGGGAAAAGGGTGCCTGTGGCGGGCAACATTTCCCGTCCTAAAAGGGGCCACACCGTTGGGAGCTGGGCGCCCCCCAATTTCCGCGGGGGCCAGTAATACGCCCCCCCCTCGGTGGCCTGGGCGTGCCTATTGTTGTTTTTTTCCCCGCCCACCTGCCCACCCCCGCAGGTCGTGCATTTCTCACTCGCCCGCGGGGGGGGGGGGCGGGGGCGTGCATGGTTCGCCAGCAGCCCAGCCCCCCCTTTGGAAAGGTGTACATTGACACGGCGGTCCCCTTCCGGAGGCCCTTCTCGACAGCTGTCTCAATGTTCGGTGATGGGTTTCTCTCGGCTCCACCCCGGCCCCCCGGGGACCTGGCGGTGGACACCTGCCAATGGTTGTGTGCCTTTAGTGGTGATCTCCATCCGCTGTCTCCCCTTGCCGGCGTATTTACAAGTGTGTCGGTGTGGACGTGGGTGCGGGTGCGTCTTTGCCCGACACCCGCCCGGGCGACTGTTGTGCATGTTCGGAAGTCCGGGGGTGTTCCCTGTAAAATCCATTTTGTTGGTCCTGCCCCCCCCCCCCCCCTTCGATGCAAATATGGGACACACATGCGCCTCTGCCCCTCACTCATGATGCAGTAGACTCATGTGAATGATGGGTGTTGTCCTGGGGCGTGTTTATTTGCGCCCGCCCCCTCAGGAGAAATACGGCGAGCTCACCCGACCCAAGCACGTCCTGGTCGGCATTTCGCCTGAGCCACACCTGTGTTCACAATTGCGTTCGCGGACCGGCCCTGTCCTGGATCGAGGATGCGGGATTCCCTCGCATGTGTGGGGGACAGCGCCCCCAGACGGGGGGGGGGGGGGTCGCGATTATGTCTCCCAACTGTCCCTCGGGTCTCACCAGAGACCAGCCCTGACGGGCAGTGTGATAGGCGTTTCCACCCTCCATCCACACATGTCCACATTTGGTTCCCCTCACCTCCGGGAGTGGTGCCTGCCTCGGCCTCTGTGGGGTGTGCCATCCTCTGCTTGAGCAGCGCGCTTGCCTCCTTGTGCCCTCCCCCGCCCCCCCCC